AGTTAGTGTTGGGCTTCACGTTTGAGTTGAACACGGGCTGTTCGTGTGTTCGGTGAGCACAGGTCAGGTGCAATGCACTGGCCAATCATAGTGCATAATGATGTCACAAGGGGGTGGGTGACCCCAGTGGGTGACCTCGCACCCTTGTGACGTCATCGCGCAATTTAAGAACTGTCATCCGGGCGCAGCTGTCAGATGGCTGGGAGCCAGCGTCAAAAGCGTAGCTGTTTTTTTTTTTTTTTTTTTCTTTTTTCGGGTCGGTGGCGGGCATCGTGATTGATGTTGGATCTACTTTGGGGGACATTTTTTCAATTTTCGTTTTTAATAAAGGACTAGTCAAAGACATGTTCTTACATTACGCTTTTTTCTTTTTTTTTTTGTGAGTGGGTAGCGGTACCATGTACTCCATACTGATTCACATGGGGAGGGGGGCTGGGATCTGGGGCCCCTTTGTTAACGGGGGCTTCCAGATTCCGATAAGCCCCTCACCCACAGACCACGGTTGTGGGGAAGAGGCCCTTGTCCCCATCAACACGGGGGACTGGGTGCTTTGGGGGGGGCCCCATGTTAATAAGGGTCTGGTATGGATGTTGAGGGGGACCATCACGCTATTTCTTCAAAATTTTGGCGTGGGGGTTCCCATCAAAATCCATACCAGACCCAAAGGGCTTGGTATGGATGGAGGGGGACCCCATGTGGCTTTTTTTTTTTCAATTGTCGGGCAATGCCAACAATTCTTTTGACATTCAGCTGTCAGCAAGGAACCCCACTGGCAGCTGAAACATGACTGGTTGGTGGCGGGCATCTTGATTGATGTTGGATCTACTTTGCGGGACATTTTTTAATTTTTTGTTTTTAATAAAGGACTAGTCAAAGACTCATTTTTACACTACGCTTTTTTTTTTTTTTTGTGAGTGGGTAGCGGTACCATGTACTCCATGCTGATTCACATAGGGGGGGGGGGCTGGGATCTGGGGCCCCTTTGTTAACAGATTCCGATAAGCCCCTCACCCACAGGCCACGGTTGTGGGGAAGAGGCCCTTGTCCCCATCAACAATGGGGACTAGGTGCTTTGGGGGGCCTAAAGCACCCCCCCCCCCCCCGTGTTAAGGGCATGTGGCCTGCTATAGTTCCGGAGGGAGGATTCGCTCATCCCCCTCACTTTTCTGACCCTGCCGGGCTGCATGCTCGGATAAGGGTCTGGTACGGATTTTGAGGGGGACCATCACGCTATTTCTTCAAAATTTTGGCGTAGGGGTTCCCATCAAAATCCATATCAGACCTGAAGGGCTTGGTATGGATGGAGGGGGACGCCACGTGGGTTTTTTTTTTTTTCCAATTTGTCGGCAATGCCAACAATTCTTTTGACATTCAGCTGTCAGCGAGGAACCCCACTGGCAGCTGAAACATGAATGAATGTCTCACTACTATAATACCAAATGACTGCATAATAGAATCAGGGGCGGACTGACCATTTGGAAACTCGGGCACTGCCTGAGGGCCCGTGGTCAGTAGGGCCCATGAGATGCCCCTGGTACTTTTTCATAGGATTTTTTGAGTTTGGGCAAGGACACAGGGGCCCCATGATCCCCTATTGCCTGGGGGCCCCATGAGTTGTCAGTCCGCCCCTGAATAGAACTCATGGTATTTTAGTAACTGTGTGGCATCTTACCACATACTGACATCGACATTGGTGAATTGTCCCCTCTGTTCAAAGTTTGCGGTCGAACTTTCGGTAGGTTCGAATGTTCAACCACGCACCGAACAGGGGGGGTGTTCGGCCCATCACTAATCTCAGTGATTTTGCAAAACAACGGACAATCAGAATTTATCTCTCCTTACAAATAATGAAGCTGTGTTTATCTGATGGATGCAGTTCTGCACCGGTAGAGGAACGTTTCGGAGAAATGGGTCACAAGTCATTCTCGTCTCCAGGGCTTAGAAAATGCAGACCAGCCCAGCAGAAAATGAATGAATCTCAGAGTCAGCAGATCTGCGCACTTAGCGAGATCGAACATCACCCAAAGGGATATTAGAGAGAGAAAGACACAGTGTGGTCAATGAGGAGGGAGGGAGAGGGGGCTGAATGATGGGAACTGGAAGGCCAGGAAATATCTATGGTCTACATTCAGACGTTAGCAGGCTGTGCTGGGACAAGTGTTTTGTGACAAGACGATGATGCCAAAGTGCCCCTTCCAGCTCTATACACCCTAAGACCAAAGGTGTGTGTGGTCATCTGCAGGGGCGGACTGACAACTCATGGGGCCTCCGGGCAATAGGGGATCATGGGGCCCCTGTGTCCTTGCCCAAACTCAAAAAAAAGCCTATGAAAAATGTACCAGGGGCATCTCATGGGGCCCCCTACTGACCCCGGGCCCTCGGGCAGTGCCCGAGTTTACAAATGGTCAGTCCGCCCCTGGTCATCTGGTCATCACACCTTTACAAGCTCGTTGGACATTCCATTCCAAAGCCATGACCGTTAATATGGAGGTTCCAACCTTTCCTGCTATAACAACCTGCACTCCTCTGGGAAGGCTTTCCACATGTCCTTCGAGTGGTCTTTCTCAGCCAGTGTTCCATGGAACCCTGAGGTTCCTCCAGAGGTTGCTAGGGGTCCTTGAGTGAGTGATTGTCCTCTAATGGAGACTTGGAGAGTCAAAAGGCGTAAAAGAGAATTAACTCCAGAAATAATACACAGGGGCAAGAAAGTAGGAAATATAGAGAAAGATTTGTAAAGGATGAGTAAACCTAAAATACATAAAGTGGGAACTGACTTCCCAATTTTGAAAATATGTCATATGTTACCTTTGCATTGATCTCAGCTCACTGTCTGCTGTTATATGTGGAAATTCACAAAAACTTGGGGATTACCGAGCAGGACTGTGAAGGACAATATGTCTGCTCTGTAAGGCCAGGTTCACACTAATTGCAATTTCAGAGGCAACTTGAGTTTCACAGAATCGCTTGACAAGGGAAGTCGTATTGTTTTCAATGGTGTTCGTTCACATCAATGTGACTCGGCAAGGAGTGATTTTGGAAAAGGCTCCTGTACTACTTTGGTGCAACTCCAGTACGATTTTGAGCGATAGAGTTGTAGGCAGGTGTAGTTTCTTTTCTCCACTGCAGGTGGCGCTCATTCTGCAGCAGCATTTCAGAGGGAGAGGAAATCAGGGGGAACATACTCCTCTATGGTATTTCTGAGTCACTGGGGAAGCCATCCGGTTGGATGCTGCCACCCCATGTGGCTCTGGCAGCCATCTTGGGTCAGGTAGAGTCTATTTAAGACTCTGGCACCCTGGCTGAGCACGCATTTTGTGAGTGGACAGTGTAGGGACAGGTTACCTGTCTGTCAGGGAAAGTGAATAGTGGTATGGAAAGGTTCTGAATGAGCAGGGACATGCTATCCTTCCCAGGAAACTTCCCAATTGGGCACAGATCGGCCAGCCTGCATTCCACCCTCTGAAGCAGACGCTGTCGGCACATCAGACCCTGCTCTGCTCTGCATTACTACACAGAACTGTGAGTGTCCCTACCCAGGTAACTTCCCGCTGGATTGTTGTATCCTTAGGCAGTCACTTCAATACAAGTTCTGTTATTTACAGCCAGACCCAGTGTATTTACTGCCCCTACCCTCAGACTATATAAGCTTTATCAAAGTTGCATCTAAGTAACACTGAACGTTGGATCAAAATTGTATAACAGCAATGTGAACCTAGCCTAAGAGCAGGATGGCATTTTTCCTGACCTTCCCCCCACACCGTGACCACAACCCAATATCCTATTTGTGGCTATACCAGTCTCCCCTCTCCCCTGAAGGCTTTTCACAACATTTTGGAGTGTGGGCACCTGACCATCACACCGTTATGAAATTGTTGGGCATCCCATTGCAAAACCATGGCCATAATTATGGAGTTGGCCACACCTTTGTGGCCATAAGAGCTTCCACTTTTCTGATAAGGCTTTCCACAAGATTTTGGGTGTGGACACCTGATCATCACACCTATGTGAGATTTTCAGACATCCCATTCCAAAACCATGGCACTTAATAGGGAGTTGGTTACTCCTTTATAGCTCCAACAGCCTCCACTCTTCTGGGAAGGCTTTATACAAGATCTTGGAGCATGCCTGTAGGGATTTGTACCTGTTTGGGGGGTCAGGTACTGATGTTGGATGAGAACACCTGGCTTGCCATCAGAATTCCAACTTTTCTCCCAAGTATTCAATAGGGTTGAGGTCAGGGCTTTGTGCAGGTGTCCTCCACAACAAACTGGTCAAACTATGTCTTTATGGAGCTGGCTTTGTACACAGGGCTACAGTCAGGCTGGAACAGAAAAGGGTCTTCACCAAAATTTTAACACCACAGTGGAGGAGCACAGTTGTCAACAATGCCTTTGTACTGGTCAAACCATGACTTTATGGAGCTAGATTTGTACACAGGGCTACAGTCATGCTGGAACAGAAAAGGCTCTTCACCAGAACTGTTACCACCACATTGGGGGAGCACAATTGTCAACAATGCCTTTGTAGCGGTCAAATCATGTCTTTATGGAGCTGGCTTTGTACACAGGGCTACAGTCATGCTGGAACAGAAAAGGGTCTTCACCAAACTGTTACCACCATGTTGGAGGAGCACAATTGTCAACAATCTCTTTGTACTGGTCAAACTGTGTATTTATGGAGCTGGCTTTGTACAAAGGGCTACAGTCATGCTGGAATAGAAAAGGGTCTTCATCAGTCTGTTGACAATTGTGCTCCTCCACTGTGGTGGTAACAATGCCTTTGTACTGGTCAAACCATGTCTTTATGGGGCTGGCTTTGTACACAGGGCTACAGTCATGCTGGAACAGAAAAGGGTCTTCACCAAACTGATACCACCATGTTGGAGAAGCACAATTGTCAACAATGTCTGTTTACTGGTCAAAACATGTCTTTGTGGAGCTGGCTTTGTACACAGGGCTAGAGTCATGCTGGAACAGAAAAGGGTCTTCACCAAAATGTTACCACCACGTTGCAGAAGCACAATTGTCAACACTGTCTTTGTACTGGTCAAACTGTGTATTTATGGAGCTGGCTTTGTACAAAGGGCTACAGTCATGCTGGAACAGAAAAGGGTCTTCACCAAACTGTTGACAATTGGGCTTCTCCACTGTGATGGTAACAGTTTGGTGAAGACCCTTTTTTGTTCCAGCATGACTGTAGCCCTGTGTACAAAGCCAGCTCCATAAAGACATGGTTTGCCAGTACAAAGGCATTGTTGACAGTTCTTCTCCTCCAATGTGGTGGTAAACAGTTTGGTGAAGACCCTTTTCTGTTCCAGCATGACTATAGCCCTGTGTACAAAGCCAGCTCCATAAAGTCATGGTTTGACCAGTACAAAGGCATTGTTGACAATTGTGCTCCTCCACTCTGGTGGTAACAATGCCTTTGTACTGGTCAAACCATGTCTTTATGGAGTTGGCTTTGCACACAGGGCTACAGTCAGGCTGGAACAGAAAAGGGTCTTCACCAAACTGCTGACATTGGAGGAGAAGAACTGTCAACAATGCCTTTGTACTGGCAAACCATGTCTTTATGGAGCTGGCTTTGTACATGGGGTACAGTCATGCTGGAACAGAAAAGGGTCTTCACCAAACTGTTGACAATTGTGCTCCTCTACTGTAGTGGTAACAGTTTGGTGAAGACCCTTTTCTGTTCCAGCATGACTATAGCCCTGTGTACAAAGCCAGCTCCATAAAGTCATGGTTTGACCAGTACAAAGGCATTGTTGACAATTGTGCTCCCTCCACTGTGGTGGTAACAATGCCTTTGTACTGGTCAAACCATGTCTTTATGGAGTTGGCTTTGCACACAGGGCTACAGTCAGGCTGGAACAGAAAAGGGTCTTCACCAAACTGCTGACATTGGAGGAGAAGAACTGTCAACAATGCCTTTGTACTGGCAAACCAGGTCTTTATGGAGCTGGCTTTGTACATGGGGTACAGTCATGCTGGAACAGAAAAGGGTCTTCACCAAACTGTTGACAATTGTGCTCCTCTACTGTGGTGGTAACAGTTTGGTGAAGACCTTTTCTGTTCCAGAATGACTGCAGCCCTGTGTACAAAGCCAGCTCCATAAAGTCATGGTTTGACCAGTACAAAGGCATTGTTGACAATTGTGCTCCTCCACTGTGGTGGTAACAATGCCTTTGTACTGGTCAAACCATGTCTTTATGGAGTTGGCTTTGCACACAGGGCTACAGTCAGGCTGGAACAGAAAAGGGTCTTCACCAAACTGCTGACATTGGAGGAGAAGAACTGTCAACAATGCCTTTGTACTGGCAAACCAGGTCTTTATGGAGCTGGCTTTGTACATGGGGTACAGTCATGCTGGAACAGAAAAGGGTCTTCACCAAACTGTTGACAATTGTGCTCCTCTACTGTGGTGGTAACAGTTTGGTGAAGACCCTTTTCTGTTCCAGCATGACTATAGCCCTGTGTACAAAGCCAGCTCCATAAAGTCATGGTTTGACCAGTACAAAGGCATTGTTGACAATTGTGCTCCTCCACTGTGGTGGTAACAATGCCTTTGTACTGGTCAAACCATGTCTTTATGAAGCTGGCTTTGTACACAGGGCTACAGTCAGGCTGGAACAGAAAAGGGTCTTCACCAAACTGCTGACATTGGGAGGAGAAGAACTGTCAACAATGCCTTTGTACTGGCAAACCAGGTCTTTGTATGGAGCTGGCTTTGTACATGGGGGTGGTACAGTCATGCTGGAACAGAAAAGGGTCTTCACTAAACTGTTACCACCACGTTGGGAGGAGCACAATTTTCAACAATGTCTTTGTACTGGTCAAACCATGTCTTTATGGAGCTGACCTGGCTTTGTACACAGGGCTACAGTCATGCTGGAACAGAAAAGGGTCTTCACCAGACTATACCACCACGTTGCAGAAGCACAATTGTCAACAATGTCTCTGTACCGTATCCTGTAGTATTACCAGTAGTCTTTAGTGGCTACTGTTAATACTCCAACATCCAAAGACAGTTTAGACAATTTAAACATCTGAACTCCACATTTTGGATACTTTTGGCCATGTAGTGCATATAAGCCCTTTACCTTTAATAGCACAGTACATAGCGAGTACCTTCCAAACAGGGGTGGACTGACAACTCGTGGGGCCCCCGGGCAATAGGGGATCATGGGGCCCCTGTGTACTTCCCCACACTCAAACCAAACCCCAAAAAAGCCTATGAAAGGTACCAGGGGCATCTCATGGGGCCCCCTACTGAACCCGGGCCCTCGGGCAGTGCCCGAGTTCCCAAATGATCAGTCCGCCCCTGCTTCCAAACTTATAGTAGTATATCGAAACACAGAACAACAAGGCTCACGGGGAACAAGACTGAATGAACAGATACAAGAGGTGATGGAGATTAACCGGTTAAGTCCTTATTGGAAAGGACACTGCATTGTCCAGTGCTGTCCTTGTTATCCTTCTATCCTGGAACAAGGATGCCTTC